AGGAGAAATAAGAAAGATGTTATAGATGATGAAGAGGGAGAGAGAGAATATGGGCTGAGGGGCTTGTCAAAAGCTGCAGAAGAGTAAAGGAAAATGAGACTTGAGAAAAGACCATTGAATTGAGCAGCTAAGAGATCATCAGTTTACTTTGAAAAGCACAGTTTCAGTAGAGTAGTGAGGAAAAAATCCTGATTGTGAGGGTGTGAGAAATGAGTGTCTGGTGAAGAGGTGAAAACAAAGAAAGATAACTCTTTCTGGGAGTGTGGTAGTGAAATAAAGGTGAGATATAAGAAGAAAGCTTGAAGGAAATACAGGTTGAAGTGAAAGGATTTTTTTAAAAAATGGAGGAGATATGTGCATGTTTATAGGTAGCAAAGAAGGAGTCAGTAGAAAGGAAAGGATTGACTCTGAAAGAGGAAAATAATGATCAATATATAGGGAGATAATGGTTATTGGGTTAAGTTCCTGTCAGAGAAGAGAGGGGATGGGATCAAGGGCACAATTGAAAGGGGTTGGTCTTGAGGAGAATGGATATCTCTTTAGAGACCAGAGTAAAGAAAGAAAAAAAGAAAGAAAAACAATTTGGAGATAGAGGAGAATTTTGAGGTGTGGGGTAAGGAAGAGTTCATAGCAGATGACTTCAATTTTCTCAATAAATCAATCAAGCATTATATTAAGTCTCCACCATGTGCTAGGTGCTGGGATAAAAAGTCAAAAAAAACAAAAACAAACAAACAAAACCAATCTCTGCCCTCAAGGAGCTTTCATTCTATGTTGGAATTAATAACATGAACACAAATATGGAAAAGCAAAATATATACAAAATTAATGCAAAGCAATTTTGGTGGGGAGAGGGTACTAGCAACTGGAGATCAGGATAGACTTTGTGAAGGAAGTGACATGTGAGTTTAGTTAGCCTTTAGGAAGAGAAAGATTCCAAAAGAATCAGGAGAAAGGTGTTAAAAGAACTCAGGAAGGAGAAAGTATTGAGAAGTAAGTGTCAAATTCTTTAGCAAGGTTAAAGGTTGAGGACTAAGAACAAGCTGTTTGAATAGGCAATTAAGAGAATTTTGTCAACCTTAGAGAGAGCAATTTCAGTTAAGCGATGAAGCTAGAAGCCAGATTACAAGGGCTTTAAATGACAAAGAGAGGATATGCAAGGTCTGAAAAGTGAGAAGAGTCGAACTGGAGGAACATAAATAATTCTTTTTTAAGAGTTTGGCCATAAAATGGAGGAGAAACCTAGGATGAAAGCTTATGTCAAGGTCACCTAAGAAATAGTTGAAATAAGGGGTTCTAGGAGAGAGGATAGTTGCAATAACCATTAGGGAAGGATGACAGTCAATCATGGAGTAATGGAAGGGTTGTTAAATGAAGACCTAGCTGACGTTAGGTAGCATGAATTTAATAAGATAATCAGATTCCAATTTTAGGCAGAATAGACCTAGATTAGGTCTACCTTATAATCTGAATAGATAGAAAACATCTTATCTTGGCCAAGATATTTTGTTCCCTACCTTATGGAAAACCCCTCTTCTCCTTACCAATGTATAGGATCATAGATTAAGAACTGGAAGGCACCTTAGACAATATCAGTTTAACATCCTCATTTTATAGGTAAGGAAAGTAAGGCCTAGAGAAATGAGATGACTTGCCCAAGGTCATCTTTCTGTCATCTGTGAAAAAAAGAGTTTACTAAGCAAATTAGTAATGTAAATAAGATTTCATGTGGTCACATAACCTACTGAAGAAAGCAAAGTATTTTAAGCATTTCATTACAAACTAGCATTAGTTGCATAGGACAATCTATTATGTACAAGTGCTTATCTACTCAGTAACACAGATTATACAGGACCATTGGCAATATTTTGTTGGGTTTAGTTTTGGGATTTGACAAGGGGGTTAGTTCAGATATGTGACTTCACTGATGGAGGGAACGCCTGTTTTGGATTTCCTTACATCTACCAATGAACATAAATAACTGTTTTACAACTTACAGTGTTAGAGAGTTACCTGAAAGTTGAGTGATTTGTCCAGGGTGACCCAGTAAAAGTGGCAGAGGTAGGATTTGAACCCAGGTCTTCTTTATGACTCTAATGACAGCTCTGTCTCTGCAATGCCATGCTGGGTTTGGGATGAGTGATAGTAATACAATTGAAAGTATTAAAATTACAATTCTTTGCAAATATTCTAAATTACTATTTTTCATTTATTCAAACCATATTCTTGGGGGCAGCTAGGTGGTGCAGTGGATAGAGCACCAGCCCTGGATTCAGGAGGAACTGAGTTCAAATTTGACCTCAGACACATAACACCTACTAGCTGTGTGACCCTGGGCAACTCACTTAACCCCATTGCCTAGCCAAAAAAAAAAAACAAACAAACTATATTCTCTTCTCCTTTATTCTGAATTAGTGAATTTTAAAAATAATTTACTAATTAACACCTCTTTAAAATACTTGTTTGAGAAAGAAGCTTAATTAAATTCTGTAGAGTTATTTAGTGAGAGTTGATTTGGAACCTGAGAGAATGAATGGTGGCATTTAAAAAGTTTGAGAATCACTGAGCTGGATATGCTAAGTGATCTATCTTGATGACAATATCTAATTTGAAATTTAAAAATGTGACTTAGAATCAAATTGTGACATTGTATTTCTAGCTTCTCAGTGCAGTGACCTGTTATTCTTTCTCTGGCATATAATTAAATGGCAACAACAACAAAATCTTAGTCTATGAGCAGCAGAACAGTCACTGTGCTTTGAAATTAGTCACAGAAAGAGCAGTGCTTATCAATTGTCATCCCTATATGAGATTCACCTGATTTACATGATTTATCTGAATGTTTGATAACAACCCTCTGTAATTTTATCCTCGACAGATTGATGAACTCCCAGAGGGAGCTGTGAAGCCTCCAGCAAATAAGTACCCAATCTTCTTTTTTGGCACCCATGAAACGTAAGTCAACAAAAATGCCATGTTCTTTAAAAATGAGTGTCTTATCAGATTACAACTTTTGGTTTTAATCTGGTAAAATATTGTTGATGAAGGAGCTACAACTTAACATGCTATCAAAACCAGTTTGATCAAAACAGAAAACAATGCCTTTTCATTAGAATAGACATATGAAACAATAAACATCTCTATCTTAAGACGTGAATATCTTTGGTATTGAATGGCATTACTTTTTCAGCTAGATACTGGCAAAAATATGGGGACCCTCTGCCAGTGTTCATACACATCCTGTATGTATCTCTGGTCCTACCATAGATTCCAGATTGCTCCCTTGTCTTTTCTTCAAACCCCAAAGAGTGGGGTAGGACTGCCTACTTCTCCAATATAAAAACTATCCCATTCTCATAGAGGAGTCTCTCTTTTTCCTGGTCCATTGCTGAACAAGACACAGTGTCTTAGCATGTCCTCTTCTAGTTCCAGAACAAGGAAATAGTCCTTTATAAATTTTTCTAAGGGTTTTGTTGTTGTTGTTGTTTAACTGCTTTTAACTATAGGAAAACCAAGGAGTGAAAATAATAAATCAAGGCAAGGTAAATTATGAAGTTTAGCTTCATAATTAGTACTCTTGATTCTACCACTCTGGCACATTCTTTAATCTTGTCTTGAGAGAAGGAAGCCTTGCCCACACCTTGTATACCTGAGGCTAGTGCTCTGTGATCCTTCTGGAAGGAAACCTGTATCCTAGGTACCATCTCACTCTTCGCCCTCAAGGATAAGACAGTTTTGAACACAGCTACTAATGGTGGGCTTTTGGGTATACAGAGGACTACTTAAGATTCTTTTACATCTCGTTATAAATTTCAAGCTGCATATCTATCACAGCTTCCTCTTTCACACACTAGCAAAATTATCCTAGAGCATTTTGCCTAAAATGCTTACCTCACAGGATTGTTGTGATAATCAAATGAAATACTGTACAGGAAGCATTTTGTAAACTTTAAAGTACTCGGTAAATGTCAGCTGTTGGTATTTTTATTCCTCACCTCTTCCTTCCCTTAACACAATAGAATCATAGAATTTTAGAGATGGAAGAGGTCTTTGAAATCATCTAGTTCAGCCTTTTAAGAGGGCATTAGATAGGAAATGATGCCTAACAAAGTGTGTCACTTTCCTTGCTAAATGAAATATGAACCTGCTCCACTATCCAGAACAGGAAGTAGAGTTTTTGCCTCCATTAAAAATGAATTAAGTATTTCAGGAATCCCTCTGCATCCAAATTTAGTAGCAATCAGAATGCTTTTTATAAGAAATCCTGGCCACATTTGCCAGAAATTATCGCACTTTTTTTTAAAGCACATACAACTTTCAACCCTCTCCAGCAGCCTCTGCTTGCACAGCTCATCATCGTTCGAATTTTGCTTCTTAGACTCACAGATGACTTGAATTTTTTCCTTAAATGTGATTGCTCCATCCTTGCAGGCCATACACCAAGTTGGACTCTGCTGGTTTTGCTTCCCAAATGTGCACTGCTATACCACCTTGTTTTTCAGCACACCCTTGAAACGTTTCTTCTGCCCACATTTATGGTTGCCTCACTTACAGCTCAAAGTAAGAAAACTCTTTGGGCAAATCCATTCCCTATACAGGTCAAACCCCATGGAGATGTATTGTGATGACTGGGCTGTATTAGTGCTGCTGGACTGGCTAGGATCCAAAATCTTGTTAATCTTGTGTCCCTAGTTAAGGTTCAGTAGAGTTGGAGGGTAAAGATGATAAAAGAACTCTTTGAGAATCTGAATATGAGGCCTTTGATAAGTTCATTTCTCAGAACCACATAGCCCTTCCAGCCCCTGCCAGTGCTTTGTAAGCCTCATTTTGGTTAGAAGCCTTATGCTACATTGGTGATTCTCATCTTCTTAAGGAGATGCTGACTTTTTCATTCCACTTTCTACAAATCCTCTGCTGATAAGCACTTGATTAGATATAGTGATATCTAGGAATTCAGAGATAGCTTACAATTCTGTAATACATGTTGGGAAAATGACCTCTAATATATACATAGGTACACATGCATGTACATGGACATTTAGAGAGATAAAACAAACAAACAAATATAGGTAAACCCTTGGATGGGAGGTAAGACATGGGGCAAGTCACCCTCTGTTTCCTTCTCCTTACCATTTTTGTATAGTACTTACTATGTACCAGGTACTATGCTAACTGCTTTACAATTATTTTCCCATATGATGATTCACACAAAACCCTGAGAGGTAGGTGCTATTATTATCCCTATTTTATATATGAGGAAACTCAGGTCTTCCTGACTACAGGCCCAGCCCTCTATCTACCAGGCTTTCTAGTTGCCCCAAATGAAATCTAGTTAAAATGAGCATGGCAGGCAATTTAAAAAGATTTTTAAGGAAGAAATGTAAGAGGGGCATAGTGTTCAGCCTGAAGGGTATGTACAGAAGAAAGGAAAGGGATGTTATTACCAAATAGCCAGCTCTCATCCCTCTGCCCCTTTTTTACATGCTGATTGGGTGCTTCACAACATTCTATCCATTTGTGCACACCACCTCCTTCTCTCTTTACCACTAGCACCCAGTAGTTTCTGTGGCCTGTTCTCTTTAATCTCTATCATAACACAGGACTCCCAAAGACATAGAGTCTGGGGGAAGTTTCCTTAGATTTGTCGTATACCAGGGATGGCTCCTTGCACAAAAATCCCAATCAAAAGATAAATATTATAGATAAGTGAGGGTATGTGGACTAGTAGAAATGAGAGACTGGATGAGCAGATAGGTGAGTGGTAACATGTGAAGACTGGGTGAAAAAGAGTGAGTTGATAATGGTATGAGTGTATTTTCTGGCTCTCACTTACCCTAATATAACTGCTTCCAGTTACCCTTTAGAAGTAACTCTCTGCTCTTTCCAGGAGAGAATAACCAGATGTCCTAGGTGCTGAAGCAGGGGTTATAACAGATTAGGCAAAGGTGAACTCATGGTCCAGATGGTCCAGAGTTAGCAGGGTTCAAGACAATAAGCTATTAGGTGGAACCTAAGGCAGCCCCAAGCAGTAAAGTGCAAAGAAGTAGCAATAGATTAGGCAAAAAATAGAAACTGATAGTCTTGATTTAGCACAGTCGAATTGTTAAAACATGTGCAGTCATTCCCAGTTCCTTTGCCCATCCTAAGATATCACAATTTCAAGGCACTTTCACCAGCTGGTCTCCCTGTTAAGAAAACTCTCCCCAGTTTATCAATGTAGCTTTATGTGAGGCTTTTCTGACACTACCTCTAAAGCAAGACACTTTAGGTTTAAATGGACATCAACTCATTAATTAAATGTGTGATCCCTGTGCAGGAGAATCCTCTACACAGGTCCATGAGCTTTTAGTATTTCATATAGATTTCAGCCCATTCATTCAACAAAGATTTAAGTGTGCTAGGTGCTGTAAGGGATTTTTTTTTTTAAAAAGTCAATGGCCTTTACCCTCAAGGAATTAATATTCCAGGAGAGATAAAACATAAGATTAGAGACTTAGAGCTGGAAAAGACCTTTGAGTCCAATATCCTTTTTTTATAAATGAAATGGAAGCCAAAGAAGGCCAGTGGGTTGTCCAGGGTTATGTAGCTAGCAAGTGTTCAAGGCAAAATTTGAATCCAGATAATTATGATTCGTATCCTATCTATTTCCTAATTCAGGGGGAGAGGATCTATGTCTTCAGAGAGTTTGCTTTATCAGATCTAGGTGGTACAATTCATAGAATCACAGAATCTCTGAGTTGGAAGGGACCTCAGTGATCACCTGGTCGAATACATACCTGAGCAATACTCTACTCTATAACATACCCAGCAAGTTGTCATTGAGTCTTTTTGTAAGACCTCAAGAAGGTGAGGAAACCCATCATCTCCCAAAACATTCCATTCCATTTTGGGATAACTCTAATCATTAGGGTGTTTTTCCTTTCAACAAGCCTAAATTTCTCTCTCTGAAACTTACTCTTATTGCTCCTATTGTGTTTTCAGGCCAGGGAATAAGGTGTTGTGGAAGAAACACTGGGTCTGGAATTAAGAGGACCTGAGTTTAAATCCTGCCTCTGATACTACCTGTGATGAGCAAATTAATTAGCCTCCCTGGGCCTTAGTTTCTTCCTCTATAGAATAAGGGGGTAGGACTCAAAGGCTTCTGAAGGTCCTTCTAAATCTATGATGTTAAGAAACCAAATTCCTTTTGCCCATGGCAGCCCTTCAGAGATTTGAAAATAGCTATTATGTCTCTCCTGAGTCTTCTCTTCTCTAGGCTAGACACCCCCAGTTATTTTACCCATTCTAATATGCCACATTTTAAGGCCCCATCATCTTACTGCTCTCCAATTTATCAATGTTCTTCAAAAACGTGGTACCCAGAACCAAACATAATACTTCAAATGTAGTTTGAACATAACAGAGTACAATGATGCTCACCTCCCTAGTCCAGGACACTCTGCCTCTCAATTCAATCTAAGATTGCATAGTTTTTTTGGCTGGCATATCACACTGTTTGACTCATTCTGAACTTGCAGAATACCCACTCAAATACCTTAAATTCTTCATCTGAAATGCCGTTTTGGGGGGAATTTTCTCCCCTAACAATGTTGGCCTTGGTTCTGATATGCTTTTGATTAGACTGTGAGCTCCCTGAGAACAGGGACTCTTTTTACCTTTCTTTGTATACCCAACACTTAGCACAGTGCCTGGCACAGAGTTGGTGCTTAATAAATCTTTATTGATTGATTTAAAAAGCCATTTTTTTCTGTGACACCTTATATGTATTCCTATCTCCTTGGTGTTTCATATACCATTTGCTGGGAAGGGAAGGGAGAACTAGTGTAACCAGGAAGGACAGTTAAGTAAAACAAAAGTGACACCTTGACCATATCAAACAACATATGCCTCATTAGGTATAGTCAACTACAGGTGGAGGTCCCCTCTTTACAAAGAGGAGGAAGGTTGGTTTCATCAGTTGTCTGATCTTTGCACTGATCTATGTTCATTGTTGAGTGTTATTTTCCTTTTTGTTATTATGTTGATATTTTCATGTTTCTTCTTACTTTGCTCTGTGTATAAAAATTAATCAATGAATAAGCATGTATTAAATGCCTACTATGAGCTAGGTACTATGGATATAAATACAAAGAATGAAACAATCTCAAGTATATACATATACATGTGTATATATACATACATACAGAATAGATAAAAAGAGAATAAATACAAATAAATATAAAGTAGATACAATATATTTATGCTCACGTTTCTCTGAATTCTTCATAATTGTCATTCCTTATGGCACAAAAATATTCTGTTATTCATATGCTATAGGCATCTACTTTGCTTCTAATTTCTTTTGCCACAAAAAGTATTGCTCTAAATATTTTGGGATCTTCCCCTTTGTCTTGAGATTAATTGCCAAGTAGTGGTATTCCTGGGCCAAAGGAAATTCTATATATTTTTCAAGGCCCAGTTTAAGTTCCATTTCCTTCATGAAGCACTTGTTAACTACTCCAGGACACATTTATCTGTCCCCTACCCTCAAGTTTCTAATGGCTATAAGCCATACCACCCAACTAAGCCTTTAAAAATAATTAAATTTTTGCATTTTGCTGCAGTTGTTACATATGTGTTTGTCTTGTCTTCCCAACTAGATTATAAACTTCTTTAAGCACAAGAATGTATGATGTCTTTTATTTCTTCTGCATCTCTAATCACACCTATCAAAGCTCATTTTAAGGGACATTCATTAAATTCTTTTTGCTATAGCTGCTAAAAAAAAAGACTAACTCAGTTCTTAGATTTTATTAGAAATATCATATCTAGATTATAGAAACTAATATTCCCATTACATATTTTAAACATGCTATCTGGAATATCACGTTCAGTAATGGATTATACATTGTTAGAGGAACCTTGACAAATTAGAGATTAGAGATCAGTATAGTGATTGATCTATAGACTGTTGTATTGAAGAAAAGTGGAGGGAACTGAAAATATTTAGCCTGGAGGAAAGAAGACTTAGGGAAAATGTGATAACAATCTTTAAATATTTAAAGAGAAAAATATATAAAGAGAATGAAAATGTATTTTATATTGTTCCAGAATGTAAATGAACCAGTGATAGAAGTAGCTTTTTGTTTAGTATAAGAAAGAACTTTCTATGAACCAGTTTCAAGTCAACAAGGATTTATGAAGTACATACTCTGTACCAGGCACTGTGCTAAGCACTGGGAAGATAAATACAAGCAAAATAAAAACAGACCCTGTCCTTTAAGAGGTTATTTTTTTTTAACCAAAAAATCAATAAGCATTTATTGAATACATTTTTTTTACAAGCACTAGAGATACAAAGACAAAAGTGAAACAGTTCCTGCCCTCAAAGAGCTTTCAGTTTCTCTGAGGGAGATAGATAGCTTGTACATATATAGCCTTCATAAGATGGTGGTGCTTGAATTGAGCCTTAAAAGAAGCTAGGAATTCTAAAAGGTAGAAATGAACAGGGAATGCAGACTTAGATGGGAGATAGGGGTTACTTGAGGAATACAGTCATTTAAGCTGTGTATTCGTTGAAAGAGGCTAATTATAAACTAAGGCTAGAAAAGTTAGCACAGGTTCCTGGTTATGGAGGGTTCCTAATGCCAAACAGAGGTAATTGGGAGCCACTGAAATTATTTTTGAGGAGGTGAGTGATATGATTGGATCCGCAAATTGGGAAAATCACTTGTTAGTGATGTTTGGCTCTTCAAGGATGATGGATTGGAATCAGGACTCAGGCAGACCATTTGAGGATGACACCTCGTTTGTGAGCTTGGTGACCAAAAAGATGGTAATGCCCTCAGCAGTGTTCAGGAAGTTTGAAAGAGGGGTGAGTTTTGGGAGAAAGATAATGAATTCTGTTTTAGACTTAATTGAGTTTGAGATGCTTATGGAACATCCTGTTTTAAATGGTCAATAGCCAACTGATGATGCTTGACTAGAGCTCAGGAGGGAGACCAGGGCTGGACATTTTGTCGTCATCGTGGGGATAATTAAACCTACAGAAGCTAATGAAATCATGAGAGTATATAAAGAGAAGAGGTTCAGGACAAAGCCTTGGGGTGGACCCACAGTTAGAGGGGAGGATATGGATGATGATACAACAAAGGAGACCAAGGAGTGGTCAGACAGGTAAGGAGAGAAATGAGAGAGCACTGTCACGAAAACCCAGAGAAGAGAGAATATTTAGTTGGAGGTGGTCAACAGTGTCCAATGCTGCAGAGAGGTCAAGAAGGATGATGACTGAGAAATAGTCATCAGATTTGTCAATTAAGAGATCACTGGAAATTGGTAATTTAAGATCAGATCCTTCTAGCTTGGTTGTAATGTGGCCTTAGGTTAACTTGTGAACGTCTCAGTCTCCTCATGTTAGTCTTTTGAAAATCCTATAATCAGCATCTTTTCCTTTTGGTTGGGAAGAGGGGCAGAGAAGGACTTGGAGACCCCGATTTGACCACCGAGTGGTGTTTCAAACCCCAAGTCCTTCCCTCTGCTGTAGGGTGGGACCGGGTGGGGGGAGGGGTGGGGGGTGAATAGGAGGATGCGGCCTTGCCCTGCAAGGTCTTCGTGCCCCGCCCCCTTCTCGCCCCAGGGAGGTGCCTCTGCCTCACCTGCCCTCCGGCCTTTGTGTCCGGCAGCCCACTGCTTGCTCTCACTGGGGACTCAGGCTGGAGGCGAAGGGGTTTGGGGATTTTGCAGGTAATGGAAAACAAGTCTTTGGAAAGAGAAGTGCTCCCCAGGGCCCGGACCCTACGCTGCTCCCCTGGGCCGAGGTGGCTTTTTATCTAGATTTTACAAAGCCGGCCTCTCTGGGTCAGGCTGATGGGCCGCGAGCCCCCGGGCCGCCGCTGAGAGCGGGGCTCCTCGGAACGGAGGAGGTTACATTTTAACGGGGAAGATAAAAACACATGAAAGGAAGTAGAAAGGGGGTAGGGAGAAAACACATAAAAACAAGCCAAAGGTACCAGGAAAATACCTGGTGCTGGAGAAAATTAGAACAGTGCAGCCTGGTAGGAAGTGAAGAGATGGCCCATCTGGCTGCCCCTTTTAAATGGAGGTTCTGGCAAGAACCTGTCCAATCAGAGAGAAGGACCCCAGGGACAGAGAGTGCTTCTGAGGTGTGATTTCCAGGGATAATAATGGTTGCTATAAAAATAATTTCTTCATTGAATGGGAAGTTGGACAAAGTGACTCTTTCTTGGCCTCAGTTTCCTCATCTGTAAAATGTGTAGCTTTACATAAAGAAAAATATTTCTAAGGTTCCTTCTAATCCTAAATCCTCTGATCCTGTGGTCTTTAAATTCTTTTACAACTTAGACACTCCATGGTTGATTAAGAGAAGGTCAGTTGTTAGTGAGGAGAACATGTGATGTTAGCTAATGATTGATTTTAATATGCATAATAGGGTTTATTACTGTTTATTCCCGCAGCATTTTGATCTTTTAAGATCAATGTTTTTTTCAGTTTCTAGAAATTTTACTGGGGAATAATTAGTTAATGTGTAGTTGATTTTTACTGTTATATTACATTTTGTATCTAATGTTGCTACCACTATATTACTCTTTATTTTATAAAATTTGGTAGTATAATAAGAATCAATGGGCCTTAAATGTTCATTAAACAAGTCTTGGGGATAGGGATAGGACCTTTGATTTCACTGATATAGGGAACTTCTAGATGAGGAAATTCTACCAATGCAAGTCAGCCTGTCGCTGTATCTCATAGCTTATTGAATTGCCTAGAACACCAAAGGGTTGAATGACTTATCCAGAGCTACAGAGACTGAAAATGTCTGAAGATAAGTTGAACTCATTTAGGTCTCCTGGCACTAAAGCCAGCACTCCATCTATTATGCTATGCTACAGTAAGTCTTAAGTAGATGAAAAATAAAAAATTGTCCTGAGACTAGAATCAGCCATCCATTTTTTCAACACCTATTCTTTAAGCAGCCTTTGTATACAAAATACTGTGCTAGCCACTTCAGGGTGAGGATGGTGTTAAGAAGTGATAAGAACTGTTTTCTTTGGTGCTTACCTTTTTGATGAACTACTTTAGGGTGCTTGTTTCTTAAAATATATTTGTTACTTACCTGATAAGTATTTTTTAAATTAGTGTGTTCATTGGGTTAAGTGAAAAATGCCTTGACTGTGTTGCTGTTGATGTTTAGATGTATTACATTTGAAAAGACAGTTATATTTCCCATGTCTTTTCTGCAGAGCATTTCTGGGGCCCAAAGACCTTTTCCCTTATAAAGAATATAAAGATAAGTTTGGAAAGTCTAACAAAAGAAAAGGATTTAATGAAGGCTTGTGGGAAATAGAAAATAATCCCCGAGTCAAGTTTACTGGATACCAGGTAAAGAATTTATATTATTTTCCTTCAAATCTCATCTCTTAGTTTTAGCTTTTATGCTGTAATGATCTTGTGCAGACATATATTCTTTCTGCTAATTGGTTGATTACCTACTAGGAACACAAACTCTCTACTCCAGAAGACCAGCTAAATGTTTTCAGTAAATAGTGCTCCTAATGCTGTGACTGACTATGACTTTAATGTGCAGGTTTCCATCATCAAAACTTGATTGGTCCCTTCAGAGTTAAAGCTTCTTCATCTGATCATTGATGTTTAAGTGGCCACTGGAAGAAATTCTTTCTGCCAGACCTTTCTCTCCAGAGCCTTAAGAATAAGCCAAGCTGTTTCTAAGTAAAATGCCTAAAGTATAGCCATTTCTTATCACCATTTCCATGTGAGTATGTGTGTCTGTGGTACTTTGCACAATGTAATTAGCTGATCTTTTATTATTTTTCAGGCAATTCAGCAACAGAGCTCTTCTGAAACTGAGGGTGAAGGAGGCAATACTGCAGATGCCAGCAGTGAGGAGGAAGGTGATAGAGTAGAAGAAGATGGAAAAGGCAAAAGAAAGAATGAAAAAGCTGGCTCAAAACGGAAAAAATCATACACTTCAAAGGTTACAGAGGAGCTTTTCCTATTGTAACTAATGTCACATGCATGATAAAAGGGCATGCTCCCTTCTGGTCTAAATAGTCACTAATAGATGTTTACTGGGTGCCTACTCTATGTAAGCCCTATGTAAGTCTCTTTGGGGAATTCGAAGGACGTGAAAAACATGGCCCTGCCAACCAGGAGTTTAAACTTTAGCTGTGGAACAAGAGACTGTATTTGTCATTCTACAGGAGTGTAAACTCTAATGAAATCCAACTTACCAGACGAGATAAGCTCAAATGACATTTTAGAAACTGCAAGTAAGACAGTGCTTCAAAGTAGGGAGGTAGTGTCTAAATTGGTTGCAAAAGACAGGAGTGTTGTCATCTTGTTGGGTTTATTATAATTGATTTGTCACACAGGTATAATTGAATACTTAAACAACTTGTTCTGTTTAAATTCTGTTTGGTGCTTATGTAATAATAGGTTAGCTATATTTTAAGTATCTCTTACAAGTAAGTACTAAATATTTTTCATCCCTTCATATCCTCAAATGTTCAGCTGTGAACTTCATTTCTAAACCCACATATATTTATTTTGAATAGCTTATTATGGCTTAATTAACTCCTTTATAGTATAGGTGATTCCTTAAATTGTATTCACTAGTTCATATTGCAAGTTTAAGTATAGTGCAGGTATGTATGACCTTAAATATCATTGTTTCATTTTATGATTGGTCAAACAATCCCTAAGAAGGGAGCCTAGGGTTGGTGCTGGTGGAAGGAATGATATATTTACTCAGAAGTTACTAAGAAATATTTCACTCATTTACTTCGAGTTGTATTTTTTTAAGCTCTTACTAAGAATTCTAAAAGATATAATGGCACATTAAAGTTCATAAAGTACTTTCCTAACAGTAACCACCAATGAGGCAAGTAGTGTGTTATTATCCTCAGTATACAATGAGGAAACTGAGTTTCAGAAAGGTTAAGTGCCTTTCCAAGAGTGACACAGCCAGAAAGAATTAGAAGTAGTGTTCAAACTCAGTGTCTCTCGACCCCAAGTCCAGGATTCTCTCCACTCTGCTGTTATGCCACATTAGATACATGTTTAAATTCTTGGCCCACAATTAAAAGTATAAAACACTACATTTATCCTTTATAAATTACAGAAAGAAAAAAATTACCCTAGAAAATATTTAATGAACATTGAAGTGAGGGGAATGTTTATCTCCTATTCCATGTCACACACAGTCTTAATAGATATTTTAGTCATAGGTGATCTGTACCAGATATAATCCTAATAAAATTAGAACCTCTCCCTTCCTAGTCAACTAAAGTCAGATTTAATCAGGTATCCAGAGAGAGACATTATGGCAAAGTAGATAGAGAGCCAACCTCTGAGTCAGAAAGCCCTGTGTTCAAGTTCTGTCTCAGAAACATACCAACTGTGTAAACAAAGGCAAGCCATTTTCATCATTTGGTGCCCCAGGCAACTGTAAAACTCTCTATTTCCAAGCATTTGCTTATTTGTATTGATAAAGGAAGCATCCTCACTGGGAGAGCCTCTATCAATCAAATCACAGGTTTGGTCTAAAAAAAAAAAAAAGCTGAACATGACAGGAACATGTTCCATTGTGAGTGGGGTGAGAAGTGAAGAAGTACTGATCTACCTAAATTTGGCTCCAAAGTGATTAGAGGTTATCATCATTTTTTCTCTCCAGTTAATGTGGACGGAAGATCATAACGTTATGTGATCATAATGCCCTAGCCTCAAGTTAGATTTTGAAAACTCTAATTTCCCCAAATGCCTTTGAAGCTTATTGTATATGCTGTTTTCTCACATTTGGTCTTTTATTACAAAGTGGTCCTCTTTGGCACTATTGGACATTATACATATATATATTGCATAAGCAGTTGGGGTTAAGTGACTTGCCCAGGGTCTCACAGCTAGTAAGTATCAAGTGTCTGAGGTCAGATTTCAACTCTGGTCCTCCTGACTCCAAGGTCAGAGCTCTATTCACTGTGCCACCTAGCTGCCCCATATGCTGTATTTTTAAAATTATCTTTTCTTTATTTACTAGGAAAATAAAAAGCATTTTTCTTTTTTCTTTATTGTAATAATTTCTAAATTATCTAAATGTGGATAAATATGGATAATCATATCTCTGGTTATATATGTAAACATATTTTAAACTCTGTCATCTAATGTGAAAATCATCCAATTTTAGCCAAATTATAACTTCCATTTTGGTCTTGATTATTTGATTCGGTTAAGTAAAATAGAATCTTGTAGAGAATTTAAGTGAACAGTATTTCTCTTGATTCAGTTATATTTTGTGTCTTTATATCTATCAAGCGACTTTTTCTCTTCAGAAATTACATGGTTTGTTTGTTTTTTTATTGGTTGTGTGGCTAAGCACCAATTTGCCGATCCAGTGTATTTTTTTCAGTGACTAAATCACTTTTATCTAACAACACAGTGAGGGGACTGATAAATCCTTAAAAGAAAAGTGTTATAGAAATGTTAAGTGGTACTCTTTCCTTTAAGGTATATTAGTATAGACCTACTTATTAGTGAATTCATGGTTATTCAGTTAAACATCTCTGGCTGGAAAACCATTAAAAATTCAGACTTTAGCAATTTCTTACTTTCTCCTACTCTGATTTCAAGTACTTAATGACAAGAGAATAGGACTCATCTACCAGCATGATCCTTGGTTTTTAAGTAGGTATAATTGAAATGATTAAAGTTCATTATGTTAGTAGTTTTTAACAATTAGTTTTTCTAATGCTGTTCTCACAGTGTATCTTTTGGTGCTTAATCACCAGACAAAATTTAAAGTTTTGTCATAGTGACAAAAGTAGAAATGACAAAAATAGAATACTATGTATTCCATTAATGTAACCCAAAAGGAGATTTAATTCAAATGGCCGTATTCTGTTTCCCCTTATGGAAAAATTCTCTACTAGAGTCAATGGCTAACTTAATAGGCTATCTGTTCTGGTTGCATGTTGGCAATGTATTCTAAATTCACAAACTGTTCTGAGCTTCAAGTTGAGAATTGTAGTGCTGTGAGACCTGAGAGATCATTTAGTCCAGTCCCTTATTTTCTAAATGATGAAACTAAGCCCAAGAAAGGTTGAATGACTCTCCCAAGGTCATTAGATAGTAGTTGTTCCAGGACTATATAAAGCTCGTTTTCCCCCTGACTCCCAGCTTCATTTTTCCTGCTGCACTGCATTGCATCAAAGACAGCCTCTCAAGCAGTGAATTGCTCCAATGATAGAGAAGACTTTTTGCTGCCACATTTGATGGGCTTCTCTTGCTTTCTAACTTGAATTTCAGCTTTTGACTCTGTTTTTTTTTTTTTTAACGTGTCTAAACTTTTAGAAATCCTCTAAGCAGTCACGGAAATCTCCAGCAGATGAAGATGACAAGGACTGCAAAGAGGAAGAAAATAAGAGTGGCTCTGAGGCTGGAGATGCAGGCAATGACACAAGAAACACATCTTCAGACTTGCAGAAAACCAGTGAAGGGGTAATTCTGTGCTTATGCTATTCTCTTACTTTCCATTGCATTAGAAATCCTTTTGCTGGAGAATCAGGGCCCTTCTGTCAATGATATTCCTACCAGCAGCAAAATCTAAAGGAGTATTAGGTACAATATATATTGCTAAATAGTGAAATGCACAACTGTTCTTAAATGTGGGCATAGATACCTCCCCAGAGTATTATCCTGAGTTCAGAGAGCCTGAGGACAGAAATTAGCTTGATGGGTAGTGTACCTGATGATTGGAACTTGGCACCATATTTACGTATTATTTCTTAAAGGAAGGTGTTAAATGCTTCAAAGGTGTATTGAAATTGATGAGTACTACTTGAAATCTGACAGCAGTATTTCTCTTAATTAAATTAAATATCAATTAATTAAATTTTCAGTAGTATAACTAAAAAAATATTATGGCTGATTCTTCTCTCTCAGAATTTATCAGCATATACATGGGAACAGGCTTTTTTACATTATCTTTCTTGAATACATATGAAACTCATGCTAATTTCTGAAGTCACAGGAGTTCCACCTTTATAGGAATATTACTGAGAAGGAAAAATTGTTCATAGAAATTTTCCAGCTATCTATCCTATTGTTCTGTCTTGAGAGGTTAGTTGGTAACCATTTTAAAATAGTAAGATTAATTGGCCATGAGATGGCACTATTTGTATACTGCTGAAGTATAGGTCCATACATTTACGGTGCTGCACGGTTTATTATTATCACAATACTATTAAGTTCTAATTTCAGTTGCACTTTTTCTCAGACTTAATTTAGCGGAGCTGATGTATTTCAGTGAGGCAGAAAAGCATTTCAGGCTAATATATCTTATAATAAAATTAGAGACAAAGGCAGAACTTAGCAGTTTCAGTGCTCTTCTCTCAGAGACCAGCTTGAAGTGCACATTTAAAAACATTGGATGTTTTGAGTAGCCCTGAAAGTATTAGAGGGTTAGGTTTGGATTTTTTTTAAAAAAGTATTCTCAAGTTATCTCTCAGAAATAAAAATACAAAATATGGCAGAGCCTCAAATGATTAAGTAGAGTATATTGCAGAATAGTACTTACAGTTTAGTAACTCCTGCATATTTGGGGGAAACTAAGTGGCCCTTTTGATGATTTTGAACTTTGCACAAAAAGGTTTTGAATTTATAGGGCCTTGTTAAGGGCCTAAACTCTGAATTCTGCTTGAACCTCAGTTTTTGTTGTTGTGGTTGTGGTTGTTGCTTTGTTTCTTGGTTCTTCTCAGCAAAAGTTTGAACCTCTTTGAATCTTTAGGAATTTATGTAAATCAGACTGCTGAAGATGACCCCTGAACTGTCTTTTGCTCACCTGATTTCTGCAGAATTCATATTCTTCGAGCTGCTTATATTGGTTAAAACCATAGTTTTATTTGGTTTTACCTAAAACCGACACTGAGTTGTTTTGGAAGAGGATTTAGGCATTCAGTAATGTAAAAACCTTGTGTTCTCTCCACTCTTTTGGTCAGAAACAGCTGAGTGGCACAGTGCATAATGTTGGACTTGGAATCAAGAAGACCTGAATTCAAAACCTGCATCAGCCACTTAACTTCTTTATGTCTCTGTTTCCTTATCTGTAAAATGGGGATAGATAGCACCTACCTCCAAGGATTATTGTGAAGATCAAAGAAATAATAAATGTAAAACATTTTATAAACCTTAAAGCATTATATAAATACTAGTTATTATTATTAATAATAATTTCTTAGAATATGTTACTCCCCTTCTTTCTATAAGCCAGCCAGGAAATTAGCAGTTCTTACTAAATATTCTATTCAAGCTACTATGTGGTACTTCCTAACAGAAGATTTTATAGTTTTTCTAAAGGAAAAAGTTAATCATAACAGGATTTTGTGTTGCTATACCTAAAGTGTTGGTTCCAAATGGATAGTAGGAGTAGTTTTTCCTTAGGTGTGAGCAGAGCCAAGATAGAGTACCTGGAATATGGGCATGAATTTGTCAATGGTGTGTAGCATGGACTGGTGTGGGGAGAAGCTTGAAGCAGGGAAATTGGTTAATTTGAGGAGCATCTAAGTGAATATTAAGATCCACTAGTAGAAGAACAGGAGCTGGGGAGGAGAGAAAGATGGTGAACCAGAGATTGAAAGGAGGCAGAAACCTAGGAGTTGGTATAATATAGCTACCATAACATGGGTCAAGTGGAAAAGTTTGATTGAGTAGACTTCAAAAGAAGAACTAACACTGCAAAGACACAATATATTCCTGCCGTGAGAAAGTATCTGTACTGGTAATTATAATGCAATTCCTATTTGTGTTGCAGATATGCAAAGTTGATAAGGGACAGGCAGTCCTTTATGCCCTTCATATTGGGTTATACATATCCACAATAACTCATTAAAGAAGGAAATTCCTACATGTCACCATGTCTCAAGAATGAATAGATTTGTATTCCTATTTCTGAGAAAGGTACAGATGACATATGGAAATAAAAAATTAAGGTCATTGTAGGTCATTCAAGATATCCACATCTTGGAGTTTCCCTCATTGATTTAGTATAAATGGGATGGAGGCAGATGTCCTAATGATTGTCTGTGCCCACTTCAGTGGGATGACTAGGACTAAGATTGGAGCTAGAAAGAATCATGTGCTTCTAGGTAGACAGGCTAAACAGGTAGACACTCCTGGAGGAAAACAACTAATGGACATTTACCAAGGAGCCAAACTTCCTTTGTTCCTAAGTGAAGTGCGTACTTCTTTTTAAACAGGACTTCCATGGAAATATCTGCCCCATCCCTATGTACAACATCTTGTTGTTGTTTATTTGTTTTAATCGTGTTCAACTCCTTGTGACTCCATTTGGGGTTTTCTTCGCAAAAATACTGGAATGATTTGGCATTGCCTTCTCCAGCTCATTTTACAGATGAGGAAACTAAGGCAAACAGAGTTAAATGACTTGCCCAGGTCAGTGAGTGTCTGAGGTCTGATTTGAACTCAGGAAGATGAATCTTTCTGACTCCAGGCACATCACTCTGTCTGCTGTACCACCTAGCTGCCCTGTATATAACATCTACAAAACCTTATCTCTAGACTCTATCTTTATATTGAAGGATAGAGAGGTGCCTAAAGACACTTCATCTGCCTTACCAGCACCACCATATTCACTAAGGCCCAAATCATTCAGGAATTTTTAGATTTTCTCCAGGATGCAAATGGATACTTAGTGATAGTTACAGAATACGGAATTTGAGCAATTTTATCAGTGCCCTTATATTCCAATATATTTTCCCTCAAAAAATGTAAATTGCAACATATTCATACATGCCCATATGGTAAATTCTTGACTGTGTTTTCCCATGAGTTCAGTACAGTATATCTACCCAGTGTGTTGGGGCCTTCTCCATGTTCTCCTTAAATTGTATAAATACAAAATTGTGTAAATACAATGTAATTGAGTAAATACAGTGAAGAGCATGAGTTGTTCATCTGTTGTCCCTGACTCCTGCTTTGTTACTGACCTGTCTTTTTTTTCCCTGATCGTACATTTTTTGTTGGCATCTTCTACATTGCTTCTCCTGTATAATTTCTTGTTCGTAGTGTACTGAGGCTTCTTCATGGCCACCATACTCCTCTCCGTTGCCCTTTGGGCCACCCTGTGCTTCATATCTTCAGAGACTATAAATATTCCATGAGTTGTGGCTATGCAGTATCACCAGAAAGAAGAACATTGATGTTAAAAAAGATAGGCCTATATTTCAGTGAGCAGCTTGATATTATTAAAGTAATATTGTAATTTCTCAAAGGCAATAATCCTATATTTCCTCTGCCTGTTTCATTCTGGGCCCAATTCAGTATGTACTTTCAGTCCCTGAACAAGATATAAACATACTGATAGACAAGTTCTGTGTCTCTTGTCCATACAGTTGCACACCATAGTCTGGATAAGGGGGGTTTTATATTCTGATGTGGATAGTTAGAACAAGTTGTTCTGAGTGATCCTGGATCTTGTTCAGGAAGCTTTACAATGTACATGGGCTTTTTGAAAAACCCTTGGTGTTATCCACCCACAAACAGGGAAATTCTATGCCTTTAAGTAAATAAAGGTAATCCTTTTTGTATGTTCATATAGTATCTTTGCTTAGAGCAAGATACTCTTCCGTTCTATTCTAGAAAGTAGGAAGATGGGGATTTTATCTGTTAATACAGATGGAGTTTAAAAAGGTACCTCTTACCCTAGATCTAGGTAATTGTATGTTCAGAAATCCTCTCTTAATCTCCAACAATATGAATTTAGTAACAGAAGTCCAGTATACAATCTTTTTTTAAAAAATTCATTTTCTTTTTTGTTAATTTTTCACATTCATTTTTTAAATTTTGAGTTCCAAAATCTTTCCTTCCCCTCAGTTCCTCCCCTCCCCACTGAGAAGGCAAGCAATATTATACCCATTATACATGTGAAGTCATGTAAAACATTTCTATATTAACCATGTTGCAAACAAAGCAAAAATTTGAAGAGTGAAAAATATGTTTCAATCTGCACTCATAGTTCCTCAGTGCTCTCTTTGGAGATAGATAGCATTTTTCATCATGAGTTGTCTGGAATTCTCATGGATCATTCTGTTGATCAGAGTAGCTGTCTTTCACAGTTGATCATCATTGCAATTTTTCTGTTCCTATTTACTACAATCTCCTGATTCTGCTCATCAGTCCTTGTAAGAGTTCTCAGGTTTTTCTGAAATCATCTGGCTCGTCATTTCTTATAGCACAATAATATTCCATCACATTCATATACCACAACTTGTTTAGCCATTCCCCACTTGATGGACATCCCCTCAGTTTCTAATTCTTTGCCACCACAAAAAAGAGCTGCTATAAATATTTTTGTACATATAGACTCTTTTCCTTTTTCTTTTATTTCTTTGGGGAAAAACCTAGTAGCAGTGTTGTTAGGTCAAAGGCTATGCACGGTTTTATAGCCCTTTATTCATAGTACTAAATTGTTTTCCAAAATT